ATCAATAGGGCGAAGGATTTGATGAGAAGATGATTCGTGACAAGTTTCTGGGCAAGCGTTTTCTCATTCTTGCGGTTCAAAGGTATTTTTCTTTTTTCCCTTTATCAATTTTAATTCATCGGGATGGCTAAGATTGTTTTTAATCAGTAATTCTAGTCATTGTTTCGTTAGGTTCGGTAGTCCCGCTAGGGCTGCTAGAGAGTTGACGCTCAGAGCCACCTTGATTCCTGGGAGCAGCCGTCCCCTCAAATTGAACTACGCCTCTGGAGGAGGCCTAGCTGGCAGACGGTATGGGCTATACTTTATCAACTTCTGTTTTCATATTGGCTAATCAAGTCTCATGTAGCAATGATCGCGGACCTTAGTACTCCATTTTTGCCGGTGACCTTGGACCCCAGGTCAATGAATACGTTCTTCTTTCTTATTCACAATCACGATTCCCGTCTTGAAAATCAGCAAAGATTATGACGGATCCCATTAGTGGGATGTCTCGTGGTTATGGGGTCGTTAGCTCTCAGATGAGGGATCAGCAAAGTGCTTTGACTAAACTGTAGGGCTTCTACTGTGGTGATCGTCCCATGCGTATTTTTACGGCCACTCCTTAGGACAAGAGTGATGCTGGTAGTCCTTTCATGCCCTGAACACCAGGCCCCGTTTATGTACTCTATGAGAGCTCTCCTACGTGTTCTTACGGTGCCCCACAGCCAATGAATCAATTTACCGATCCTAAGTGCACAACTGTTTTTGTCAGCCGACATTCCGGATATGTTACCCAAGGTGAGTTCCGTTCGCTCTTCCCAGGTTTCAGGAGGATATTTATGCTAAGATTCCTCCGGGGGAAGGCTGTGGATTTGTTCAGTTTGTCCAGAGACATGCGGCGAGGTGGCAATCAACAGGATACAAGGATATCCTATTAGGACTCGAGGGTGAGATTGCATTGGGGACGAAGCCAAAGGAACTCAGACCCTACGGGCACTCCTTACCGGCCTACTCCTCCGCCACCGGTTTATCAATAGATGGGAATTGCTCCTCAGCAACATTATGCGTCTTTTGCGCCTTTAACGTGATTACTCTCTTTCTTTAGACTCTTTTATAGTTTGATATACTTATTACCGTTACTCGTTGTCTCCCCTTTACTTATCTCCTTCATCGATTTTTCAATTTCAATTTCTCCATTTTCCTAGCAAGGCCCATTCTTCTCTATCATCCTATTTAGGTCATCTCCTGTATTGGGGCTCGTATTTTTTTCTCATCTCTGCCGATTTTGGAGAATGGTTGTTTAATTTTATTTGCTGACTTATTTGCGCCTTGCCTTTTCTGTAGTCCCCATGCTGCTCACATACACCCGCCTCCTCAGCTAGGCCAGATGTTACCTCCGGGACCACCAGGCGCGATTCCTGGGCCCACTAACCCAACCGAGCCTCTCAATATGCAATACGTGAATAAGATGTACCTGGCCGCGAAAGATGGCAAAATTAACAGTCTCGAAGCCGACTCGCGTGGATCCCAATCCGCCAGTGCTGCTTAATGACCAAATGCGAATTTTGATATTGCTTTTATGTCTGATATTTTATTTTTTGCTATGTGAGGGAGCCATGGCCCAAACATAAGGGGGCGGAGGAAACGTGAAGGCGGAAAAAGAAAAAGTAAAACAACAACCGTTAATGAGAATGAAATTCTGCCGTTGCTAACTTAGGGGAAGGCTAGGAAACGGAATTCATTCAAGAGAAATGTAAAGAAATGTAATCGAATGCGTTGAGAGTGTTGATAGCTACATCTGACGTTACGCAAAATAATGGTCAACCTTTGTCTTTCTATTCTTGTTTTGCTCTCCCTTCTTACTTTTTTGTCAAACTTTCTCTTTTTACTTTCCTGTCTCAATTTTCGATTAAAAAGGGGACCCATTCATCATCTTGTTCATCATCACCGGCTTTGTTCTTTTGGTATACTTTTGTTTGGCTGCATTAGCTTTCCTTTCCTTTCCTCTTCGGTTCAAAACAATGGCAATGCTTTTTTTCTATTTCGTAGGTGAAAATGAAAAACTGCAACTGATAATAGAAATGAAATGTTGTCGTTTCTAGGTGAAGGCTAGGAAATGGAATTCATGCAATAGAAAGGAAAAGAAAGGTGATGGACGGTGTTGGGAGTGTGGATACCTACATCTGGTGTGGCGTAAAAAAGTTGTTGACCTTTCTGTTTCTATTCCTCTTGTTTTCTTTTCCTAGTTTCTTTTTTGCCGGGCTTTCTCTCTTGACTTTCCTCCCCTAATTCTCGATTTAAAGGGGGACTCGTTCATTATGCTATCCTTCACCACCTGGTTGTTTTTTTAGTCTGCTTTATTTTGGTTGCGTTGGTTTTCCTTTCCTTTTCGTCTTTGTTTCAAAACAATGGCAATGCTTTTTTTCTATTTCATAGTTGGATTGTTTCGCTTTCCTTTTTTGCCTAGGTATCTGATTTTTTTTCCTTAGAGATTGCTTCGCTTCAAGTTCACTTATTATTGGGTTTTATTTGCCTTTTTATTTCGCCCTTAATTTCATTTCGATTTGATATTGATCGACTTCTTGAATAAAGTGTCTGAAGAGAATAAAAAGTTCTGGCTTTTTATTTTTATTGGGCTATTGATCATGGTTCTGTCCTACCTACTCTCTGACCATCAGCGAAAAGGTAGGACATTGGCTTCCCTTCCCACCCAGGCTGTTGTCGTTGTCAGGAAGTGTCGGTTCCTCTTGGATAGCAAAGCTCTACTAGGCAATCTAATCCCCACATTTCAAGAGTAAGTAATATACCTGGAGCTCTAAGGAGATTTAAAGTACAGCCTATCCTGAGGGGATCATGGAACTAGGTAGTAGACGGACCGGGAAGGGGAGTGTTGGAATTGCGAGATTAAATTCAAGTCCATTTTGCGGAATTTGTCCGGGCATGTAGTGTATATCTAGCGGCGATTTTGATTTGTGGAGAACGAAGTGGTATTAAAACAGGCGAAATATGTCCCTTTAGCAAGGGCGTTGTATTATAGTAGCTTCCGTGGTTGCTCGTATGATATTTGCTGAGCTAAGGAATATGGAGGGGAAGAGGTGTCATTATGTATTGTGCAAATGGACCCAAACCGGGTCCTCCAAATCGGCCAAATGCGATTATTAACTAGTCAACCACATCAGGAAATTTTGTAAAAAAAAAAACCGCTAGTTTGAAAGCAATTCCATGGAGAACAGGGTATCATAGTGCTTTTTTTAAACAATATTAAAGGCTGTCAGCAAAAGTTATTGAAGTTTAAAAAGTGAAAATTTTGGTCAGAGTGAAACAAGTGATAGAATCTACTTAGTGCCATGATGAAAAATACTGTAGAGGATGGGTGACTAAGACATAGTGATAATGGACAACAGAGAAATTATGAGCACAAGATATTCTTTTTAGTTTAAAGTAGATAAAGCAGATGATTCTGACGATTTCTACTTGAACCAATTTACCGCCTGTTACCCGAAGGTGCATCAATGAACCTTCCTTGTACTGTCTTGGCAATTATTAGCTTAACTCTGTTTCAACGGAATTGCCGTTTCACTGCACGACTCGCCTTTAGGCACATTCCACCTTACCATGGTGTTTAACTGTACCAAAGTTTCCACCACTACTTCGGATGGGGCTAAGGACCTTCGGGCTGGCTGGCCCCAGCTCCGTTGAGTGCCCCGCGGTTTGACAATGGTGTTATAACTTTTAGCGATAGGGTAGAATCATCTGTAAATCATCAGCCTGGGACATGAAAACTCGGGTCGGGCGACTATCATAATCAAAATCATAAACAAAAATTAATGATCGAAATGGTTAACACATGCGGGAGCACCCCAGTGGGGTGGGAAAAACACTTGAAAAAATATTATTCTTGTGCACGAATATCACTCCGTCCTTCATAAGCCTATCATACCTCTTCTACAATCACCTGTACGAATTGTGGGGGTTCAATGTGAGCTCTAGGGTGTTATTTTGTCGTCGTGAGAGTGCTGCCAAGAATGATAGTGAAATACCCACCATCCAGCGAGGGACTTCTCTTACTAACGCGCTAACCGTTTCCAGATCAGCAGCTATGTACTACTGTCCCGCTACTTTTACGGCACAAATCGCCTAATAGCTGAACTAGCGTGGAGCATCCAAATTATCTGAACCGCTGTAAGCCGCCCAGCGACATGGTGGCTATCCCAGGTATGAAGGACAACAATACAGTATAATCTTCAATGACCAATCTTGTTAGTTAATTAATTCCTTGCTTGGCTCTTTTCCTAAGTCTTGATTCTACGCATACTAGCGAATAATTAAGTACCTGTTTCACTTGCACCAAAAACCTTCAAGCTGAAGGTCCATAGCCTTAACCAATGTTGACTTATTTTGTGAAATCGGGCCGCAGACCAAGCGCTATTGATTCTCGCCAGGTCTTATATTAGGGCATCCGAAATTGTGTTGAAAACACAAATTGTGTCTGTGGTGACATATTCAGGATGAAAACGGCATGTACAAGCACTGATGTAAACGTGCTGGTGGTCTGTGTTTGACCGGCTAGCCCATGAAACCATGGTTGATGAAGACATACGAGTGGGGGACCAATGATAGGGGTCTGAGGGACGAGGTTTATCCAATGGCACTGTGATAAGAGGTGGATACAGATGATTGGGATTTATTCTTGGGTGAAGGGTTATGAGGCGGGTTTTCTAGCGCCGCTCGTGATTTTCGGATTTACATTTGGGTACAAGGGTGGATCGCTGGCATTTATCAAGATGTAATAATAATATTATAAGGTTGATAAATATTACTTAGAATTAGTGATGGGCACGATCATGCTCGAGGAGAAAATTTGGCCCTATGCTTGTCCATAAATGTGCTCGAGCACACCAAAATTTTATGCTCGAGCATGATCCTGCCCATCACTACCTAGAATTCAGATATCAGCCATCTGCACACGGGTCTCCCTATTCTGAATGTCACAATCCAAGTGGAATAAAAATCAGTTATCTTGTTTCGTGGTCTAGTTGGTATTAGATCTGGCTCCAATATTCAGTGGACCGGTTGGTCACAAGTTCGATTCAGGTCGAAGGGACTTGTTTTTTTCATCATTTTTTCTCACAGCTTGCTTAAACGCTACCGAATCCAATACCTTTAAATCTCTCATGGAACTTCCGACTAGAGCCGATCCAGCACCTCTCAACGCCCATTGCCATACCTTGCGTGATGCAGCAGTAGAGCAATGCATCCAAATAACCCACATCCTCCTAACCGCCCTCTCCTGCCCTATCCGTAGATAATGCGCCACCACCCCCATTTCAGTTTAGAAAAATAAATTTATTGAGAGACTAGGCCTAAAATACAAAACTGGATCGGATAATGCCCGCTTCCGCACTCTCCATGTGCCCCTCAATCCCTCCTTTTTTGTGGGCCATTTTTCTCAGTTTTTGTATGTTCATGCCGCACATGGTCTGCTGGTATAGGGAATAAGCAGGAGGCAAGGCTTTCAGTGGGCGCGATAAAGTCTGTGAGATATAGGACAGGAATCTGCGGGAACAATAAGGGATAGTAGGGGATGTGACTTTGTACTTGTCTAGCAGGATATGTATTCAGACCTACAGACACAATACAGGACACAATCATGGTGAAAATTTAAAAGAGGTGAGAACGAAAGCCCTGATCCCACCCTAGTCAGTTAAAAAACATGAGTAGAGAAAAAGAAATGCGAACACAAGAGGGGAAAGAGAATTGTAGAAGTAGCTCTTCCCGGACCGGTGGGGCTTTCGTACTCCTCCTAATTAGCCAAAACCTGACTGATAGACGGGAAATTGGTCAATCCATACCCGTCCTTAAAGTGCTCGGTGGTGGGTGGAACTGGCATTCTATTCACATTAGGGATGGGGATTCTGGCAAACCTGACGGCTCAATTTGGGACTTGACTATCTTAATGACGGATGATCTGAAAAGTATAGCCTGACTATGCAAGAATATAGAGCAGGTGGGACGTCGATACCCCAAAGGCTGATCGTGGCGAGATAATGTTGAAGTTCGATTGGCATTGGCTCAGTTTGTGCCGGTTTAGCATCTTCCTAGACAATCTCAAGGTATCCTTTGCTAAAGTCTTCAATCGGAATGTTCGCCATCAGGGCTGGAATGTTAAGTTCCTGTAGTTTGATGAAGTTAAGAATATTGGGGTGGTGGCTGAATGCATCAAACTAGCGACATGTTAATAAATTTAAAGGGACATGAACTATAAGAAATTCACATCACCAGCGCAGATATATTTCCGTTTAATAACCTTATCATTTAAGGATCAAAGGAGGATTAGGAAATAGCTAATAGAAGTTGAGAAAAGCTACAGGAGAAAAGATTAGAGATTCTTTGGTAACAATGATTCCGTTCCGTTACCCATATAAAAGGTCCTTTTCCTTCCGTTTCAAAACGGAAAGAGCACTCTTTTTACAGTGGAAACGGTCGCCAAAAGGAACGGAATGGTCGTAACCAAACAGACTCTTAGGGCCTGTTCGGTTGGCACGAACCGTTCCGTTGGGCGACCGTTTCTGCTGTGAGAATGGCCTTCCCTCCGTTTTAAAACGGAAGGAAAAGGTCGGTATGTATAGGGGAATGGAGCGGAACCGTTCCAACCGAACAGGCCCCAAGGAATTATCTTGTGGTGTAGAGGATTACTAGTAGAAAGGGGGGGGTGTTCGAGGGTATACCCTTGCGCTCTCAGAGTCCGGTCTCATAATCCCTGCTCACAATTCGTCCCCCCCACGATCCCGGCTCTTTTCCCCTCACCCCTTTCTTCGAATTTCATCTGTTCTGCTGATCCAATCCCCTACCACCATCCCATTTCCTTCCACAAAACGGCCCACTACGATCATCACATCAAACAAGCGATAAAAATGCCAGAGGAACCCATCCCTTTCCGTACTCAAGGTTTGTTAACCCAAATACCTGTTCCTGAATCAATTAATTTCTAACCTACTAGTTTTAGTTTACAATTTTTGTAGGGACCATCAAGTCCTTGCAGCCCTTTGCACGTTGGCCGCGGGTTTCGGGGTTGGTGGCATGATGCTTTCGGCACAATCAAAGGGGGGGGTTCCAAATTCTGTTAGTATTGACCAAATCATCGGAACCCCACCCTTTTTCGTCATCTTAACCACCCCGAATACAACCCCGGATGTCGTTCCTGCTCCTGTTCCGCCTGGCTATGGTATCATCACTTCCAGTACCATTCCAGCCGCCCACTCCCCTGTCAACACCAGGTGTGCTGCTTCCTTCTTGTTGATATATAATCAGTGACAAACAAAACAACTAACTAGCGAGCAGGAACAGAGGAACGATAGAAAAGAAACCCATTACAACCGCTCGTGAAACTCCTTCCACCGTCTGCATAGTTACAACAGTTACTTTGTATGTTTGCACTACTACCTCTATGCCATCTAACGACGGCGAGCACACCTCTGCCTCCTCCGAAGATAGTGAGCACACCTCTACCCCCTCCCCCGATGGCGAGCACACCTCTACCCCTTCTGATGACGGGCACACCTCTACCGACTCCGAAGACGACGAGCAGGCCTCTTCCAGCATCGTCCCCCAACAGTGTGAAGGGGTTGAATGGATCCTCAGAGAGGTGGAGGCACTCGGCCTTCAGATTGGGGATTTCCACATACGCCTCCAGCTTCTCACCAACCTCCTGACTCCTATCTCCAAAAATGAGCGCGAAGTGCCTGGAGGACATGGGGGCAGTTCCGCCATCCCCATTGTGGGGTCAGGGAGGTGTGTTGTACTATGGGCACTAGACCAAATGGCTGAGTATTATGGGGTGCTCCTTCTTTGCAAGCAGGGTATGCTGTCGATTCAGACGGGGAAGTTGAATCATGAACGTAACCCTAAAGAGTGGATGGAGGCGGAATATGAAGCGCACACTGTGGTGTACCGGTATCTCCTGAAGCGCCTTCACAGGGAATTATTCAAGGAGGACGCTCAGATTTGCCTTAAGGAGAAATAGAAGGGAGAATGTTATGGGTGACGGAGAGAAAGCATACACATAGATAGAGGACAGAGGGTAAAGCTTCCTTTTTTCATTTCTTTTGTGTTTACTACTAGAGAGAAATAGAAATTGACCAGTGTTCCCAAGCGTCCAGTCCGTCCGTCTTTGACCTAGGACTGGACGGACGCCAAGTTGGAGACCCTTGCCCGGGACGGACGCTGAGTGGTAGTCCGTCCTGATCTATGCCCGGGACGGACGGCCGGGCCTATAGGTGTCTTAGTTTATGTTTCATACTTGAATCTCATGAGAATTAGGTTTGTGTTATGAAGAAGCGAAGCATTGTTATTCTAATGTAGAGAAGATCAGGCTTGACTATCATATATCAAATTTGGCTATGAATCAACTAATGCTTGGAGTGATATCTGATCCTGGTTCCGAGCACACTGAACCCATTCCACTTCCTTGACCTAGCGCTTGTCCTCCCTCAGGACGGTAGGTATCTGCAAATGACGGCTGGTACCTACAGGTAACGGTAGGTAGACGCCAGTCCTTACTCAAGACGGTAGGTAGACGCCAGTCCTTACTCAGGACGGTAGGTAGACGCCCGTCCTTACTCAGGACGGTAGGTAGACGCCCGTCTTTACTCATGACAACCGGGCCCTACCGGAAGTTACCATTTCCAAAAAAGACGGCAGGCCCGCCCGTCAACCTACAGGACGGCCATGTTTAATAAAGACGGACGCCTTGCCCGGCCGTCCTTACCCACCCGGACGGGACGGACGGGACTATATGACGCCAGGGCCCTGGCGTCCGGACGGGACGGTTGGGAACACTGAAATTGACCCCATCGGGATCCGGGTGTGGTCGTCATTGCCGCCGGTGTTGTTGCTGTTGCTGTTATTGTTGTTATGAAATTTCCCGCTATGTTCTTCTAGTGCAGCTCTTGAGGAATTGCCATTATTATCACCTGCCATAAGGAATTCTCTAGCACTGTTGGAATGGAGATTGCAGATGACTTGAACTAGAGGGTTCTCATTAACAGTTAGAGTGTATGTCCGCACCAAGCAACTACCGCCCAGAATTACGGGAGTGAATAATTCTTATCTGCATATGTGTTAGGGGATCACCGATCGGGTACAGCCAGAGTTGGGGAACCACAGTTGATGTGTTGTTGACGAATGGACAATTCGCAAATTTGCGCATATGGTACCGGAGGTCATTTCGTAGTGTATGCACGATGCCGCCACCCACCCACGCAGCACAGTACGGTATTCGATTAGAGCAAGACGTGAAGTGGTGGGTGATAGAGAAGGTTATTCGGGAGGTAAGACGAATTCTCCAAAGCAGGGTAACAGGAGAAACACCTGTCACTGATCCCTGTTCGTGATCCTATAGTTTTTGTCGCGGCCGTTGAAGATTGCACTTCTACTCAATGGCTCGATTATATAGGCCGTTCTGAGTGCGGTAGACGACAGACCAGGTTCTTGTCTCACTAAGTTTTCCATGGCACCGGTGCAATTGCCTCCCAGATTGAACGAAATACAAGCGAAGATGGAGGGGCCCAAGTTGCCCTCTCTGATGATGATGAGCATGCATGCATGCATGCTGCCCTAGCAATCCATTTCACTCTCACAGCCTCCTTGCACACAGGAAAACCGCAGCTATTGACCGCCGCACTAGTCCGAAGATCGGCGAGCCGCAAACACTTAAAACTACCGGTAAAATTGCCCCTCCGGGTTACTCCCCTCGCGTGTTCCAAAATTCCCCAGAAATCTTGCAGCTACATAGGCCCAAACCTCGCCAAGATTTCTAGATTCTTCTGGAATGAACGCGCTGTCGCATGCCTCAGGGCCAAGTTAGACACAGGGAAACTCACGTTGTAGAGTTGGTATGGTTGATTGGAACTAGCCATGGCGTGACAATTTTCGTGGAGAGAAAGGAGGGGGTGTGTTTTATTCGGGCGGACACTTCCAGGTTGGCTGGCAAATTCACAGCACCTCCGCCATACCTGCGAAAATAAAGAAATGATAAACACCAACAAGTTGGCGTCGAGCCTTTTTTTTTTTACTTTAGGTTTAGTTCTGCTGCTGGCGCAGAGG